TAAGGAAGATGAAGTTCATGATATCTCTGGTAAATTGGCAACCACATTCTTGTACTAAAACAAAACAATCATCATTGTGCCTATAGTGTTCTTCTTCTTAGTAATGTCTACTCTATTGGTATGGATAGCAAGTGCATTGGCAGTACTTTCCGAACAATAAATGGATTACTCATTAGATTCATAAATTTATCCGTTTGAAAAGATTCAACTCAAATTTGATACTTTAATTAAATTGATGATTACTGTACTAGCTTTAATTTGGTTAATGCAATATATCCTATCCTTGGCCAGATTCCTAAATGCTTCAACGGCCACACTCTGGTACTTCCATGCATCTTCCAACAAAGGGTTTTTATATGATAGTTTCAAATTGGCTGTGCGATACCATAATTGGAAGTATCACAGCCGAAGCAATTTACAGTTTCTTTTTCAGTGGCATAGCAAAAGCATTCAATTTGATATATGTAAATTGATAATTAAGATTATAGGATTCACATTAACCGATGCAGATTGAAGAGACACAATTTTATTTTGAATTGTTTTGCATCGATTTCTTTGTGTTTATGCTGTGTTTGTGAGAATTTCATTATGTACATCAACAATTATGCTTTTGTGTACATCGTGATGACATCAGCAGATTACTTTGAATCAAGCAAAGCTGTTCATTTTGTAATCAAAAGAAACCACTCAGATTTTGAAACTCTTTCAGGATTGGGAGAGCAATTCACTCATTTCAGCAAAATGTTCATATTTCTAATAACCACAATTGGAACATTCATTTATGTCAAGGAGTAGACCGATTTTGTACTTCAATTGTACACTTTTGCAATTATTGCATTTATTACATTGTCAATAGCCACTCTATTTATGGATATGTTTGGACAGAGTGCAGATGCCTTACTGCTTGCCTACTTTACTGATTGTGAAGTGTAGAAGTATCATTTCGGACTTGATGAGTGCGGCTCTTGTCCTCAAGAAATAAGGGATCAAGTTTAAAACATAAGGGAAAAATAAAAGATTTACTATGGTTGAATAGATATAATTTAGAATCTAATTTTAATTAATATATCAAATATCATGTATCATTACTAATAGAATCCATTCATAAATACATTGTATACAATATTACACAAAAAATATCAACAATTAGTCTCGTACTGAAGTCGGGCTTTATGGAGAAACTGGGGGGCTTTTCTGGAATTGGGTTTTTGGGAACTAATTCAATTTCCAAACTGCTCTCTTCATCTTCAAAAGTTTAGTAATCTAAGATGTTTGAATCAAATTTAAATACAATACGAATAGCTACCATCGCCGTTGAAGTTATCGAAGAGGTCTCCACTTATAAGAATTAGATATCGAGAAGGAGGTTCCAAAATCTTGTTCAGAGTATTCATCTTGAAATCTATTTTTGATAAATTTAGATCTCCTTTTTTGAGCATTCTTTTAGACTTCTAATCTCTCCTTCTTACTTAAGTATTGGAACTTTAAGGTTCCTTAACTGTCTAAGGTCTGACTCATACTCAGGTCTTGGTATTCAATGCATCTATTATGTTTTGATCGACACATCTGAAGTCTTTAGATTGTGCATATATTAATTCCAAACGAACATCTGAATGATAGCTTCTGCATATTAGCAGTCAGAACTTAAAGAGAAGGTGAATGGAATTAAGATTAGGATCAACATGATTATTTAATAATATATTATAACAATTGAATTAGGATTAAGAGGTCTATTATTTAATTATTCTGATTCCTCCATCTCATTATCAAATTCCCTTCTTTAATTGCTTAGAGTTTCTAATTGTAAGATTCTATTCCTACTAGTCTTGGCATGTTCTGGTAAATTATTAAAATCTATAAATTTTTAAATGAGATCATCCAATATATTTCCCATATGATCGAACGATATTTCCGAGTACTTCTCCTATAAATTGTATTGTCTAATGGTCTACAAGATTGTATATTGCAAAGCATCGATTTGTAATTTGAATAACTTAGCTTTACAAATGGGACACCTCCATTTCCTTGGATTTGACATTTCAAGCATCAATAAGTAATTTTCTAGAGAGAAACATTGAATATGATTGCAATAGATTCCCCTGACAGGAGTGACCATCAAAGTGGAACATAAGCAACACAACAAAGAAATAGTTTATTTAATTTACTTAATACCTGTAGACGATATGTAATTCATCTGAAGTATAATAAAATCCTATGCTTATTCTACACTCATCCAATTTTCACTCGATGTTATAATCTTCTCTATAAGCTATTTGCCAGAATATTATTTAGTTTTGTAACCAGCTACATAATGCAACTATTCCCCTTGGATTCTATATTTTCTCTTCTACTCCATACCAGGAATAGTCTCCTTCATCATTAGAGAGCATTCTTCATTTTATGGAATCGAGAATATCAATTTCTCATCTTTTCGTTTATGTTGACAACTCTGCTGAGCCAATGGAATAAATTCAGCCACTTTCTTATTGTTAATGTGTAATTCTCCTAGATCTGGCCATGTAATTTCTTCTGCTGACAGAGGACAATCCATTCTAATACATCTGACATCAATCATATTAGTATCTGACTTAAATTTTACGGTTTTGGTGCTGGTCAACCCTGTCTTCTTAAATGAGAATGGTTCGATAATGACTGAGATCACTTCGCAAAATTAATCCATATGATATAAGGTACATCTTGGACATGTGAAATGTTTGACATATCTTTCATCATAACTTTTGTCTAGACAATTAATATGAAAATGTTTTTCGCATAATTGACATTTAACTATTTACTTATAATGTAGTTGATTTCCACAGAAACACTAATCACAACTTGGTGATTAAGCTTATCTCCAATATTTCCTTTTGATTGTATTGCAAACTTCTTCCATGTTTTGTTTTTCCACATCCATCCCTTTCGATTATTCTAACTCAATCAAAGAATTTTATATTTGTGTACTCTCCTAACTTACTTACAATTCTTCCAATTCTCTCATCATTTTGAGTTCCTTCTCTAACAACACCATCTCTTATAATTTCTCTGCTTGCTATTCAAAATATAGATGTATCAGTTCATTTATATTCTGAATTGGCTCATCTAATTATGGCTATTGTCTTGCTATATGGGGATCCAATCTAAGAAGACTTTGGAAGTATAATTCTTAAACTGAATTTGGCTTTAGATCTTTAAACAGCTTCTCAAAATAAAGCATTTATCCTATATCCTTGGTCACTCTATTGATTATTGTTGGAAGTGCTTATTTCAGCTATTTTTGAAATGCTTCTAAGTCTTTTTGCAATTACTATGATTTCATTATTTTCATTAAAATATTTGGTCAAACAAATTAAATAAATTTTATTAGCCTAAATGTATGGAAATATTTGACGCATTATTTAAATATGTATAGATTCTTTAATTAATCACTGTGTACACATATTTTTTGTATAATTAAATAGCATCCAATAGTGTTTAAAATTTATAATTTTTTTAAGTTATTCCAACTTCATATTATATTTAAAACATAAGAATGATCCTTTAATTTTATTATCTTTAAAAAAATTCATTTCAAATTTCAATTTACACATTTCTAAAGAGATCACAATCAGAGTATATTAATGTATATTAGAGTAATCGAATAGCAAGGACTATGATATTCCATAAAATTAGTGAAAATGTTGAACTTTTATAAATGCAATAGTTATAGAAATTGATACTCCTTCTATTCTCTTACTCTCTCTCTTCTTCTTTCCTGTCCTAACTAATATGATTTAACTTATGTATGTGATAGAGAGATGTCTATGGGGTCACTCGATTTGATATTAATTTAATTAAAATTCTAACGATATATTATGTCTGAAGAGCTTGTGAGATTACAAACAATCGAGTTCAAGTAGGAAATAGAGAAGCGATTTGCAAAGAGTCGTCATAACCATAATTATGTATTTGAAAGAGAAGGGAATGATTTTTCAGATGATGATTCATTGGATTCCTTGAGAAACATTGGATTATACAATTTATGCAAACCCATCCGCAATAAATCAATGGAAACTGAACGTACTGTGCCCAAGACCAGCAAAACATTATTGATACGACTGCTGAAACCCAAAAAGCAACCATCAGTCAATGAAAATCGATCCAACAACACTTCATTATATAAATCCAGATCGCAAAGCAAGAATGGCACAACTAGACTTCGCACTGAGTATTATGTTTTATTTTTA